TAATACAATAAAAGGAAAAAGTCGGTTGAGGTGTGCCGAAAACCGACGTATGCTGTAGGCCGGTAAATAAAGTGGGCAAAAAGAGAAAGCAAGATAACATTTATTCGGTAAACATAAATACAAAGAAAATACAAATACATTATTAAGTAGACATATTAATGAAAGCCCTCCTAAGCTCTTGGACTGGGTGCGGAATGTAGGTAGCGTAAGCTGAGGACTTCCATCGCCCCAGTGTTTTAATGACATGCACGGGAACATTTTGGCTAGAGGCTGTGGAGGCCGCACCAATTCTGAAGGAGTGCCCCGAGTAGCTACTAGGGTTCAGACCAAGCCTGGTGATAAGCATTCGAACGTAAAGCATGAATTTTGACGTGGTGAGAATGGTATCGTGCAGCATTAGTAGAGGCCTTGTGGGGTGTGTTTGTTTCGTGGTTAAAAAAACGTCTAGTGCTTTTACTGGGCACCAATTGTTACCCGTGGGGTAGTAGTTAATGTGAACTGGTTCCCCCCTCTGACTTGTCTTAGTCTTAGGTAGAGACAGGACGTAGTAGTCTGTGTGTTTCGTGAGATGTGACGTGAGGAGGCACCCTTGGTTATGCAGTTGGCCACTAACGGTGAATTCTCGTGGTCTAAGAAATCCGTAAAAGACCAGATACATGGCGGCTTTAATAACCGCGTTTGTATTGGGTTCAAAAGGTGCTTGGTCGAGTAGATTGGACAGGGATTTGAACATTCCTATGTCAATAGCCAATCTTTTGGGCGTAGCTGGACCGTCTGCCTTTGCTATACCCTTCAGTAGCGTGCGGATGGGGTATGAGGTTAAGAACCCTTTGTGGTTAGGGAGTGAGTAGTACATGTGGTGTTGTATCCCCGTGAGATAAAGCTTAATGGTGTTATGTGTGAATTTTAACTTAAGGTGGCAAAAGGATGCAAAAGTCATTAGTGATGATACTTCGAACCAGTTGGTTAGATGATGGTCAGTCATGAATCGTTTATATAGGTGAAATGCTCTGTTATATGAGTGTTGAGTGCTAGTGGACAAAGGCTGTGATGAAGTGAGGCTGTGATGAAGTAGTTCATCTATTCCATGACAAGGTCTTGGAAGGTTGGCGCTGGGGTTGCCATACGAGCTGCCGAGGGTAGGGACCATCTGAAAGCCTGAAATTGAAAGCGAGATAGCTGGTCAGCTGCCGTATTGTATATGCCGGGAACATGGGAGCATACAATGTGGAAGTGATGGGTGGCTGCCAGCCAAGTCAGTTTCCTAATGAAATTCATAATTATCAAGGAGGAAGATCGGCCTTTGTTGATAATGTGGCATATTGCCATGTTGTCAGAGAAACAGCGTACTGACTGACCTTCCCACAACCTACACCAAGTGACAGCTGCGGCAACTATTGGGTATACCTCAAAAAGGGCAGAGTTAGTGTGAAACCCCTCGATGCCCTGTGTTTCTGTTGGCCACGTCCCCCAGAGCCAATTTGTGCCAAAAATGGCCGCATATCCCGCGGATGATGCTGCATCTGTCCAAATGACAGGTGACTGAGAATCCAGCTGTGGAAGGAACATGCTCCTACCATTCCAGTCAGAGAGGAATCTGTACCACATCTGAAGGTCGGCAGTCGCAGGGCCGTTCAAAGATATGCGGGCATAGTCGTTGGTGAAGGTGGGGAACAGGGCGAGGAGCCTGGAAATGAAAGCCCTGCCCTGGGGGATTATGTGCATGGCGAAATTTAGTGAACCCAACAGAGATTGTAGTTCTTTACGGTTGCATGAGCCCCTGTGCATGTAGTGGTTAATGTCGTGTAGAATGTTATCAATCTTAGTTCTAGGGAGGCTGGCCATCATAGCTGCTGAATCGAGCAGAATACCTAGGAAGTTGATGACTGTGTCTGGACCTTCTGTCTTGGTGGGTGATACGGGGACGCCGAGTGCGGTGAATAGTTTGACAGCTTTGTGTAGGCTACACGGGGGGTTGGTGTTGGCTTCGATGAACAGAAAATCATCCAGATAGTGTATCACATTTTGGCACCTACTGGTATTAAGGAGGAGCCAACACAAAGCCTCAGCGAACGTGTCAAAGATCCTTGGACTACTCTTGGCTCCAAAAGTGAGTTTTGTAAAAAAGTAGTAGGCTTCTTGCCACTTAACTCCGTGTAGGTGCCATAACGAGGGGTGTATAGGTAACAGTTTAAAAGCATTGACTATATCCGTCTTGCTGAGCCAGGCCCCCACCCCCGCTGACCTGATGGCTGCAATAGCGTGGTCAATAGTGGAGTACTGTAAGGAAAATTCTTCCGAAGGAATCAATGAGTTTAGGCTGGGGATGGCTGAAGAGTGGGGAGCGGATAGGTCAATGATGAGCCTTTGTTTGTCTGAATTTTTACTTGCGACCAGCCCGATAGGGTTAGTTCTCCAACTGGAAAAGGGGGGATTACCAAAAGGACCGATGACAAATCCCTGGTCCACTTCCAGTTGTAGCAAGTTAGTGACTGCGGTAGGGTTATTAGAGGCTGACTGCAAATTGTGACATTCTAACACTCCTGTTGGCATGTAAATGAGCCCCGTGTGAAACCCGTGGGTGAGACCTGTGCATAAAAATTCCACCAGGTGTTTAGAGGGGTGAGTGGACAGCATGTGTTCAAGTACAGGAACGTTCACTGGAGACAAATAAGGTTTCTGTAACATTTTATTTGTGCACATGGATCTCGCATGTGCCCGAAAACAGTGTGAGCATACATGTAATAAGCGGCAAGCGCTGTAACCACAGGAGCCTTCATTGAAGTTATTGCAAATTTGTGACTTGCCTAGGTACACAACCGGACGACCCAATTTGTCTCTGGTCTGTTTCTCAGTTTTAAGGGGGTGTTGTAGGGACGTGCTGGGAGCGTTGTCCGGGCAGAGGGGGCACAAATAAGCTGTGTGAGCGGGTGATGTACATATGGCACAAGCTGGTGTCCTGAGCCCCGCAAAGTGCCTGAGGAACAGTTCATTGTCCAGTTGGCTCCAATCCATCTGGATGCCATACTGGGACAATGTGGCTGACACTTTAGATGAAAAAGACTTGTGATAGTCATAAAAAGTGTAACCACCATATTTGTTACCCAGGTCCACCAGTTTGTGCAGATATAAGTCCAGTTCCTCTCTCCTGTGTGGATGAACTGAGCACAGGATGTCCTTATAGATACCAAAAGACAGGACAAAATCGTGAATGGTCAATTTCTTACTGAGTCTGGGGTCTCTGGCTTTTAAAACAACAGAGATGTCCCCGTAGTCGTAAGAGCGGTTTTCCACTACATCCTGGGAGGCAATGAGCAAAGAGACCAAGTTTACGTCCTTGCCCTCCAGGATGTCTTTTTTAAGATTGGCCGGAACCATGTGGGCAGGGTTAATAACATGTGCCGCTGTCTTATTAGGTATAGGATTACCCGCTGTTGCTGTGGATATGACCGGGGCTGTACCAGCGAGAGGCACAGGTGACTCTATGGCGGAGCTGCGTGCCTCCAGCCTTTCCAGTCTGTCGTTGACCTTTCCCATAGAAGAGATTAGGGAGGCAACCATAGCATGGAGAGTCGGGTCTTGGGAGTTACTAGTGCCTTCCCCCGCGTCTGTCATAAGGGTGTTTGTTTTAAGCAGTTTAAACAGTTCTGCTTTCCTGGCCGTGGCCGGGAAAGGGATACTGCGTTTGCGTAATTCCGCCGTGATGCGAGGGATAGTCCACAATCTGATGGACGAGGGACTTCCTATGTCGTCCTTACGTGTCGGGGTAAGTGACCTAGCCCGGGTGCTAGGGACTGACATGTCGTCGCCATCATCTGGGAGCAGGGACATACTGAAAGTAATAACAGGCATAGTTGGAGGCTCGTTGGAATAGCCGGTAGCTAGTTAGTGCCAGATGGCGAAAAACTTAACTCTAGGTTTTGTGGCAGGTGAGGCCCTACTAGTGCCAAGTGGCTAGAGAGGCTCTATCTGTGAGTTGGCGCGAGGGGTATGGTAGCCTGCCCAGTGAACCGGGATGTTTGCCTCTCCAAGGGTAAGTATGGAGGAAGAAAAAGGGAGGGGGGGGGTTTGGTAGTGACAGGTGTCGCCCTCTCTGTATAATTGCGAGGCGGCTAACTATGATTTGGCCCGAGGGGCGTAAAGTACCTCGAAGTGGAGGATGGGAGTTGGCCTCGCGGACCTCTATGATTAAGGGGCAGGGAATTAACTAACGTGGCGTTGTAGAAAAAGAAGCGTGTAACCGACATACCTGCAGAAAATTGAGCACTGGTTCTGTAAGAGAATTCAGGTGTCTCTTGAGTAGGGGGGGGGTTAGTTTAGGTGACCCGTCCGAGGTATGCGGATTCCTGGGGGTATGAGAATTAAGATAATGAACCCTTAAGTGGAACATATATAAATATGGCGTAGTAAGAGTCCTGGGGGGGGGTTGCCGCGTATTACCACCCCCCCCCCCCAATGTATATGATGTTAGTTAAGATTTAACGTTACCAATACTTGCAGAACATTCTTAACATATGTTAACCAGCAATAAGTAAACATATATGCATGTATCACATTTTAACAAGCAAGTCATACCTTATATATATATAATAACAAAAAAAACAAAAAAAAATTGTGTGAGGTTAATACAACCAGCATCTTATTTAGCAGTATAAGTGTAAAAACACAGCTGTTTATGTATAACAGTACTTAAAAATAATTGCTATTAATTAGACATAAATAACCATTGTAACCATAATGACCAAAGGGTATATGCATAATGAATGGTGGAGGCTGGCTGAACTAAGGGTCAACCAGCAGCAAAGAATGACCCCCTTTAAGCCAGGTGCACCCCCCCCCCTTCCCAAGTGTGTAGTTGGTGGGAAACAGGGTCCCCTAACATTATAGGGGTCTGGTTGTGGCTTGTGAGAGCCATACCACTTCCCCCTTCCACCCCCCCCCTCCCCTCCCCTTCCCTTCGAAAAAGATTCCTCCCTGGTGGCCGAAAACAGAGACTCCTAGGTAGTAATGGAGTCTCTGTTCTGTGTGTGGGAGCTCCTCTTACTGCCCGGACCAGTGGTAGGCGAGGAGGGTAGCCGAGACCTCCGTTCGGGAGCCGGTGGAGCCGCCGGAAGTTGGCGCGTGACGTCAGAAGAGGGCGCCGCGTCTCACCGGAAATGACGATTTCGGCCCGGAAGTCGGGAGCGACAGAGGCCTGCGAGACAAGGCTGTTCATCTGGACCAACGCAGGTAAGTGAGGGAAGGGGGGAGTCCCCTTTTAAGTAGGTCTATTGCCCTTCCCACAAATTCAGGCCCTGCCTTCAAACATATGTGTATATATATATATATATATGTGTATGTGTGTATATATATATATATATATGTGTGTGTGTATATGTATGTATGTATGTGTATCTTTTGTATATATAGTCTTGGGACAAATGCTCGCCACAATAATATAGGTCTATATTATTGAAAAGTACTAATACGCAATCTGACTTATTGTTTCTTCAGGTTTATTCTTAGTAACGGATACATAATAAAACAACAAAGGATGTTACAGGATAATGGATTTCAACAGCAGATGGTAATTGCTGTACTTCTGATGGAAGAGTTACATCATTGTACAGAGCCAAGTGAGAGCGACCTCGTGTCCCTCTGTTACTATATAGAAGTGCCATAATGACGTCAGACTATAACTCTAGCTATATAAGGACAAGACCCCCAAATCCACATTCCAGAGCTCTCAGACAAAGAAAGCCTTGTGACTTCGACCATCTGTTACTTATTTCAATCCACACATCCATATATAATCAATAGAAACATAAAATATGCAATATTCTACATACGCATACACATATAAACTCTGGTCTGGCTACTTTAACAAATATTTATTCAGAGACAAAACAACAACAACATATAAATAATGACACACAATCTAACTAACTAAAACAACAACCACAATCGAACGGACAATAACAACTAAACTTATCAGATCCCACTCACAGTTCACATGATAAAAATTAGCCCATGTCTGCTCACGTGTCTGCTCAGTAACACAGCCAAGAAGGAACAGGGAGGAATGGAGATAGAAAAGAGATAACCACTTCCCCTGACTTGTAAAGGTATTGAATTACCATATCAAAAGGTAAAGCTTATCCCCCTGTTAGAAAGGCATACCTGAACTTGGTCACATGACCTATGGACACCATATTAGTTTGATGACAGAATATCACCACAGGGTCTTGCTTGTTTAGCTAGCCAGATATAAAGAGAGGGAAAGTCTCTGCCAAATATTAGGTGTTCCAGGTCCACCCAGCTTTTCATTCCATATGTACTTGCACCATTTGTGCTGCATGGTAGTAGTGTGTAAAGTGGGGTAGTCCCAGTCTTCCTACCCTATTTGGTATGTAAAGGGTTGCTCATTTGATTCTCGCCCTCCTGTCGGGCCATATGAATTTATCGATTTGGGTCTCAAGTGTTTTAAAGTCGTTAATGGAGATTGGGATGGGTAATGTCTGGAACAGGTAGAGGAATCTAGGTAGTAGGTTCATCTTTAT